CCCACCCATCCATCCATCCATCCATCCATCCATCCATCCATCCATCCATACCTCTATCTGCCTGCGGGCGTCTCCCAGACTCTCTGCTGCTTTCTTTAGACGCTGCAGCTCGGCCTCCAGGACCACCAGCCTCTGCTCAGCCTCCCAGGTTTTCTTGCTCTGCTCCCCCAGCTTGGAGCGCAGGTCTTGGGCCACGATCGCCTGTCGGTCAGCCTCCTCATCGGCCTCCTGGAGCCGGTTCGTCAGAAGCTCCACATCAGCACCAGACAGGGAACAAACATCCTGGCCTGCAGCTGTGTTTGAATTATTTTCTACGCTTTTTGAGTGATTTTGGATCTCGGAGTTTGTTGCTACAGCAGTCTGTTCTTTCTTTATTTGCATTTCTTTCTCCTTCTCTTTCTGTCCTCCCTCTGCCTCTCCTCTCCTTTTGGACTCAACGTCCTCATCGCATGGTTCTTCATTTTCTCCTTCAACATGGAGAACCTCTTCACCAACTCCTGCTTCCCTCGGGGTTCCAATGATTTCTCCTGTTCTCTCTCTCACCCTCATCATCCTCACCCTTCCTTCCCCCTCTCCCCTGCAGGATTCAGAGCCCTGGACTCCTCTCTCCACCTTCATCTCCTCCTTTCTGTCTGGCTTCTTCTCTCCTTCCACCTTCTTCTCGTCTTCTATTTGTTGCAGTTTGGTCACCAGCTGTTCAAGGCGCTGCTTCAAAGTGGCATTTTCATTCTTCAAGTTTTGAAACTGAAAGGAAATAGGAGTTTATAATAAGTGAGATCTCCTGCATTTCTGTTTATTTTTTGTCCTTTTTACAAAGACTGTTCTCTTCTTGTTCTTACTTACAACGGGCAATTAGTGATTGATTTAAATTATTTTTTGTTTGGTTGTAAAAATAGAATACGAAGGCACAACTCTGCACAAACAACCGTAGAAAACTCTGAAACAGATGACAGGCAGGAGCCATCATAAACAATATAAAATCCAGAGGAAATATGTAATACAATGTAAAAAACTAAAATAGAAAAAAGATTTATATCGCATTTGTATATTTGAACAGCTTCACTGCTATCAAAGGGGATCCGTGTTTTTTATTGATCTGTCGATTCATCCATTTTACAATTCAATACCGCTGACGCAGCTGCTGAAGATGTTTGTGTCTGAGTTATATCCAATGATCGCACTTATATTATTTTTATGGAAAAGTACAGTATAAACTGGCATTTCAAACAGTCACTGAGTTTCTATATCATACTCTGTCTGACATTTATAGGGATGCAATCATTTAATGTATCGATTACTTACATAAAATATAATTTAAAAAAAGCTTAATGTTGCTCAACACTGTGTCTGACAAAGCAGTCTCCCAGAAACTATCTCAGTCAGGTTTCTGTTGAATTCCGGTCCGTAGCAACGTTTATTTCCCTTTCAGCTCACCTCTCCGAGTGTGTTCTGATGCTCCGTCTCCAGGCAAGCCAGCTCATCCTTTGCATCTGGAGAATCAGCCTGAAGCAAAAAGAGATGAATGTTTAACTCCTCCATTTGTTGCTTCCTGCTTTTCCTGTTTCATTTACTCAGATAGTGACGAGCTTCACGTCTGACTTTAGTGATGCCTGGTTAACTTGAAAGGTAGGTCTACTGGTATTTTTATTAAAGATTCTTGCCTGAAATGGTTTGTTCTACCAAGTCACAATGATCATATCAACCATAAAGCACACTACAGACATGTTAAAGCTCTATTATTTACTTTACAATAACTTGTATTGATCAATAACTTGTATTGATCATTTCTGCCAGTCATCACCCTCGAACCCCTGAACCCTGACCTCCTGCTGGGCCTGCAGCTCCTCCAGTCGTCTCCTCAGCTCGGCGTTCTCCTGCTCCGCTCCCAGCAGCATCAGCGTCGAAGCCTCGCCCACCTCCACGCTCAGCGGCTTCTGATCTGAGAGAGAAATACGGAGAAAGAAATAAAGAATAAAGTAGGAGAAAGATAAAAAAAATGAAGCGCGAGAGGCAGAAAAAGAGAAATGGAGGAGAAGAGAAATGGACATAAGAAGAGATTCACTCGGTTATTGTTGATTGATGACCTGTGGGCCAGTATTACCCCAACATATTTTCTCTTATCAGTTAATTCAAATGTCTTAAATGACAAGGTGCGGAGAGGCAAGTGCTCTGACCAATCAGGTCTCTCAGCTCTTCGTCAGAGTCCAGTTCTGATTGGAGGAAACGTCGGTGAACTGGAGCAGAAAAGTTGCCGCCGCCGCTGCTGCTGCTGTGCCTCAGGTCCGCCTCAAGGCTCATGTTCATCTCCAGCAGCTCATCAACCCGCTGCCTCTCGGTGTCCCGCTCCTAAACACACACACGTACACACACAAGGGCATTCATTCATCATATGGCATTTCCTCACATATTACCGCACACATACATACGCACACAAATACAGCTAGTAGCATACGTATTTAGACAAAGTCTACAAAAAAACACAATCATTAAATTACACCAACCGCTTCCACGTCTATGATTTTATGACGCAGCAGAAGATTGTCCCTCTCGAGCTCCCTTAGCGAGGAGCAACGCGCTCGTGCGTCGGCCAGCTGTTCTTCCAGAAGAACTTTGGTCTCCTGCAGTGCTGCACACAGCTGCTGCTGCTCCTACAGGGGGCGCCATGCACAGACAGACATGAGGCATGAGACTATATGTAGTGATATAAACATTATATACTAGTCAGACATTAGCCAGGTAGACATTCAGGCCAAACATTTGCTGAGAGAATCAGATTGTTTCTATGTGTCTTTGCTGCTGCAGCCCTCAGAGATAATCTATCTTTGATCCACATGTTTGCCTTTTTAGTGGCAGCTAAGGGCAATTTGGGTTTTCACCATCATTTTTAAGCAGTTGTAGTAACCTTTTCTCAAGAAACACAGCAACATTGCTACAACAAAATCGGACAGGGCAAGAAACACAAGCAATTGGACGATCAGACTGGTTGTAAACAAGCCGACAGTTTGACCAGTTTAAACACTTGACTTAGTCGTTAAATCAAAAGTGAGCACATCCAAAGTGTCGATAACAACCAGACTGTGTTTTTTGCCCCCTCTGTCTTCTTAGCGTTATTCTCGCATTCAACCTCTTGAGTAATATATCAATATTTTATTCTTACCTAGGAATGACCACCGCAACGATGCGAATAAACCGAAGATGTAATAAAAACTAAATTACTCTTGAAGTGAGTGGGTTGTACTTTTCTTTTAAAAGAGAACACCTCTAGATGTAAACATTCAACATTAGCTGTACTGGTTTTAACAACTATGCAAGAGATCACTGTGAAAAGTTTATTGCAAACATAAACACAAGAAAAATGGAACCTGCCAGCTAATGTGGGCTGTCACAGAGATGCAGTATGGAGGTGGAATGAATTAAATGAGACTGAGAAGGTGACAGTGAGGACACTGTGAGGTGCTTTACAAGAGTATGAGCACATTTTCTGCCTCAGAATAGTTATGCTACTTCAGAATAAATCTCATTTGAGTGTAAAAGCTCCAATAACTGAAGACCTACTCCTGCTCTTTGTCAATGAAGCAGCTTCAGGCTGTAAATCCTGATGACATCACACAATATAATCTCATTCTCTGGCTTTGAGCTTCAGAATTATTCATATTCACTCTTAATTGAAATGCTCAGGGCCGTGAGAGGGAATATACTGTATAAAGTAGTATTTCTTTAAAAAAAGTACTTACTCAGGGAAGTTAAAAAGGTGATCTTGAAGTGACCTTCGCTGGTAATGTTCATATAAATGTGTATATGTTTGTGTATAGAGTCATTGCGAGTAT